GCAAATAACCCAAATATGCACTGACTGATAACATGACAGGAAATGCACTCTGTATACTTACAGTGAAATATTGTTTATTAATTAAGGGAGTATTGTAGAGGATAAGACACAGGTGAGTACTGAAAACACTATGCTAATTGATAAAGCCAGACATAAAAGCCTCATTTTTTTGTGATTTCATTTATATAAAATATACAGTGGGCAAACACAGAGTAGCAGAAGGTTAATGATGCTCTAGGACTGAGCCGTTTGAGGGACAGAAAATGTCCCCTGTTTTTGACTATCGAATTTCTGAAGTGGGAACAATGTTCTTATACATATTAGATTGTGGTGAAGGTTACACAACTCCATAAATACATGAAAAATAATTGGATTGTACAATTTAATGTGTGAAGAATATGATTTGTGAATAGTACCTCAGTAAAAACGTTTTCATTTTGATACATTACAGGAAACAGAAACACAAAAAGAAAAGAACAAAGTCATAATCATAAATGGCTTAGTTAGATGTGCCCTAGGTCTTACAGGTACATACACACTTGCTATTTTGTGTGACTAGATTGTATATATGTATCACACTTCTTTCTATACAACATGAATAGTCACAAATTCAAAATTTGAAAACTTCAAAAAGTACATTTTGATAACCAAGAATACAGTACACCAATTGAATCTCTTGTAACAAATTTGTAATTTTGCCATTTTGGAGACAAAAATTTTCTTGAAGACAAAAACACTAAGAGACATTTAGATAAAAGTGTTGGCAGTGTTACAATTTAAATACTGCATCCCTTAATGCTCAACTTAAACTGAGACATAAAGCAACAAGCTACACCCAGCATGTATCCAAGTTATCAGAACTCTAATGTTAAAACATTAGCAAGAAGGTATGTTCCCACTAAATTACTGGAATATTCCTATAGAACAACCAGAAGACACACACACACACACACACACACACACACACACACACACACACACACACCAGTGGCTCCCACCAAAATGTAAACCTGAATTTTTTGTGCACATCAATCTTTATATGCTTCTTTCTTCCCTTATGCTGCTGGCATAATGACAAGTCCTGATACACACCGCCAAAGGTGATGCTACAGTGCTAAGTTCAAGACGCATCATTTCTACCAATTCTAACAAAAAGCTTTTACAAGTTGGCTGACTCACTAGCTCCACTTTTTGTCATACATTGCCAATTTGGACTGTCTGTACAGCTTGGACATTGTGCAGTACACTGTGAACTTTGTACACAATAAACCCAAGTACTTTACTAAAAACATTCACATATATACAACCTATGGTTATAATCTAAAACCATCTCCCCGATATGGAGATACTAGTGAAGAGCCTTTCCTTCACCTTGCCTTTTCTCTCTTCACTTTCTCAGTGATAAAATTTATGACCATGACTAGCTCCAAGAGGAGGTTTTAACAAAGGTCACTTCTGAAGGGCAATTCTTCCTAAAATCTATCAAAGGAATATTTGTACAGGAATTACTTTGTTACTTCTAATATAGGCTAGGCATTAGGACTTATCCTTTAATACCCAGCAATACTAACTAAAATGTACATATATAACGATGACTAGACATTGTGTACTGACTTACTAGACAAAGACCAATTTTCTCTCTGCATACTCCAAACTCATACACAGTAAGCATACTCTCCAAGATATCAAGTTTAAACAATCCCACTCCCAAAATGCAACTATTCCTGAGACATAAAGCAACAAGCTACACCCAGCATGTATCCAAGTTAACAGAACTCTAATGTTAAAACATTAGAAATGTTTTAACAAAAAATACCTGAAGGACATCACTTTAGCCTTTGACTTTTACATGTTTGTAAAGAACTAGATCTTTTCAGTAGAGAAATGATTATTTAAAATCAAATTATTGAGTTCAAACCCTGGTACCAAAATAATAATAATAATAATAATAATAAACAAATTTTACTCAAGAGAGATAAGTCATTATTACAAACATAGGTTTGATTGTAGTAGTTTATAACCTTGGTCAGTATTTAACATAATGATAAACACAAATGTTAAAATATTTTCTTCTATTTTCATAATCATTAAAGTTGTTTATTATTTACTTTCCCATCTCCACATATAATCACTTTCCCTCAATCCTCATTTTTCACCACTTATTGAGCAGACTAGAATTAAAAATTCTACTGTTGCTGTGGCCTTCGTGGATTTGTTATAGACTGTTATTCTCTTCATCTGTAAATTTCTCTTTGGCTCCATTGATTTTATAGTCCTGAAACCATGCAGTGTAGGATATATCTGCTCCTTCTTTATGGTTCCTCCTTGTCTTTGTATTTTCTCTCTTCCTAAAGGTAATCAGCAAGATGCTTTTTTCCACTGCTTTGCATTTTTCTCCTCATGTCTGTCCTTTTTGTAATGAACTCTGAATCCATTTCTCAGGCTCATCTCTTCTCCTGGTTTTAAAAATATTTTTCATCATTCCAAAATAGATTTAAAATATTGCTCTCCCACAGTTATCTCAGTATCTAAAAACAAACACATATATTCAACCAATCTTTAAAGATCCCATACCAAGTATCAGAGATCATAAACTTGGAAAATGTATCTCAAGTGGTTTTGATCCATTACCAGTAGACAGACAAGTGTGCAAATGCTTGCCATAAAGTGTTTCAAGTTTTACAACAGATTTTTATACTTTCCCCCCAATTTTACTTTCCATTTCCAGAGTTTTATTACAGTTCTGAGTGAATTCCAGTAATAATACACATGCTTATCAGCTTTACTTAATCTCTCTCCATTCTAAATTAATCTTGTAGCCTTTTTGTGCTCACAGTCTTCAGTGCCTTTCTATTGTTGATGGATGGAGTGTAATCTTCATCTTCACTTTGAAGACCCGTTTCCTACTTTGGCTTTCTTTCCTACCTTACCTTCACTGCCAATGCTCTTCAGTCACAGCCTCTCCTCCAGTTGACCTGAATCGCTTCTCTGGCATATCTTAAAACATTTTATTTCCATACCTTTTCTCAGAATTCGTCCTTGGCTGGCTGATTGTTTGTCATTGTACTAGCTTTGGTAACAAAAGGATAATAATGACAAGATCAAACAAACAAACGAAGCTCAATAGTCACATTAATAGTCGCTTGTGGGTGTTCATGTTTGGAAGTTGAGTCTACTCAGCATCATGTTTATGAGATTTCTTTTTTTTTTTTATTTAATGAATCTGTATTTCCCGAGGCCTTGAAATCATCTCTATCTCACAAGCAGATGGAAAAAGCATGAAGGAGTGGCCCTGGAAATGTTCCTATGGGTCAGGACTTGAAGTGACACACTTAACTTGCATTCGCATCCCAATGGCTAGGACTCATTCCTGTTGCATGCCCAGCTGCAAAGAAGCCTGAGAAAACTGTGGAAAAAGAAGTGGCGTTTGTGAACACCTCGCAGACTGCCACTCTGCCTTATTATATCCCACTGTGGAGAACTTATGTATTCATCAGAGTTAAACCAGATTATTTCACTGAAAAATATTTTTAACCACTTCAAAAGTTTTACAGTATCTTTTTCCTTTTTTTTTTTTTTTTTTTTTTTTTAGTTCACTCTGTACTACAAATGCATTTTTCTTTTTGGTTATCCATGTCTTTTCTTTCCCAGTGAAGTTTGAACGTACTTGAAGATAAGAACTATGACATATAATTTTGAGAGTATTGATTACACATTGGAAAAACTTTAAATATAAGAATGACTTCTTGGTAGCATAGGAAATACAAAAACTAATTTAAAAGATGTCTCTGGACCCAAGTTATCATTTTAGAGTTTTAGCAAGAGACACAGCCATGAATAAGTGGTTTGATTCCTTTAAGACTACAGAGGAATACATTCCAAACATCAACCACACCCTGAAATTTTATTCATTACAAGCATGATGTTATGTAACTATGTGGAAATACCAACTCCTTACCTACCTTCTTATTTTGGTGAGCCATTGCATGTTAATCAGAGGTCTTTCCTGCTATTATGAACAGGTTTAGACAGACTGTAGTCATTATTTAAAATAATCCATGTCATGTTACTTTACCAACTGTGTCATAACTTTAAGATTAAAATTCTTTGAGGAAGTTGTGACATGCTAGGAAACAAAAACCCCATATTACTGCATAACGTTATGTAAGTCTATGAGCAGTACATATGCAACCAACCCTGAGATCCATTAAAGAAGAAATGGGTTTAAACTGAAACAAAAAAAAAAAAAAATAGATTTAAACTTCTGCAAGAAAAATTTTGGTCAAATACATAAGAGACCTTATTAAAAATGCATTAACCTTGAAATATCTTCTTACATTTTTTTTAGCCCTGGAGAATATTAGATACGTTGCAGTAAGAGCAAATGCTAAAAATTCAAAGCATAAAATAAATAACTTCTAGGAAGGTTCTCTCCATCTTCCACAGCCCTTTTCCTAAAGCTTGAGCTACTTTTGATTTCCTTTCTAAAAGGGCTCAGAAAGAAGCCCGCACAATGAAAGTAAAAACGGCTCTTTATTTCTTTTTCTCTGACTACTCCGAGATGTTTTTGTCACAACTTCATAAGTATTTCAATTACTTGCTCCCGCAACAATCCTGCAGAGACACGCTGCCCCCACCCCTCTTTTTACAGATGAAGATATTGAGGTTAAGTGATTTTCTCAGGGTTACAAAGAGACCTAGCAGCAAAGAGCGAATGAGAACTAGCAGTTCAACCTTCTGGTGGATGAATAGATTGAGTTTCTGAGCAGCTTTGCTATTATCCTGCAGAAGGGCCTCGGAGATGCCTGGCTGAATGTGAGGCCTGGAAATGAAAGGCAGGCTGCAAGGAGAGCATTTTCCATCTTATTAATGACATGGGCGATTGTCTAAAGTTGGAAGGAAAGGCCCTTTAGAGAAAGAGCCCTTTTAAAAGAGTACAAACAGCAGGACAGAGTTTGGGACCCTCCCTCAATGCAACGTTGTTGTCTGTCTACCCACAGACAGCGCCGCCGAGGAGGCCGGGCTCCGGATTGGAGACGTGGTGCTGTCGGTCAGTGGCACCGAGGTCACCAGCACCGAGCACGCGGAGGCTGTGCACCTGGCCAGGAAAGGTGGGTGGACCAGCTGCAGAGCCCAGTTAGAGAGCTGCAACAGAGAATTCAAATACCAGGAGGGGCCGACTGCAGAGGAGTTCAAATGTCCTTCCTCCCCTGGGCACCCCTTTAATACAAGGTCATTGGTGTAGCTTATGTACCGCAGTTAAATCAGATTTTTGTCCATGTATATTTTGTATTGATGGTGAGCCACAAAAGTGAAACCGGAAAATGACAGTAACAAGGCATACTCTCTGTATTACCAAAGTATTTTCTTAGATTTCACAAAAATGGCAATTCTTATTGCAAGAATTCTTTTGCTATTCTTTGCTTTTTAAGATGTTTCCTCCTTTCCTTTTTCTCTCTCTTTCCAGCATTTTTAGTTAAGAGGCAGGTTTAAGGTGACAGAGAGAAAGAAGAATGAGTGAAAGAAAAAAGAGAAAGAAAGGAAGGAAGAGAGAGAGGTAAAAGAAAGGAAGGAAGGAAGGAAGGAAGGAAAGAAGTCTGAGCTCGGGACCTACAGATTCCCCCATAGCCACCTGAGGCCTGCAGCTGTAGCCGTTCTGACCCAGATGGAGCCCCTGCAACAAGAGTAACAATGCATACCCTCATGCCCTGCACCCCTCACATTAAACTTTGTGGAAAGGTTAATACCATCTTCCCCTCTGCAGAACTATTTACTTTCTCTGGCGCTACATACAAATCTCACAAATCCTTATCTCCCCGCAGACCTACAGCCATGCAGGTGGTAAATTCTGTTTTCCATCATGGGATTATTTGGTGCGTATTTTCTTGCTGGCTTCCTGAAGGCTGCATGCATACTGCAGTGCCTCGGATGCATATTAGCAGGCGGGAAGATAATAAAGATGCATATATCTGAGATAGGCCACATAGCAAGCGGTAGGAGTGAGCCTGCTGAGCAGTAAGTTCACTTGCACTTTCTCACGCTTAGAGGTTAGCAGTAGCCAGCAGATTTTTCTAGTGCAGACTAGCGCAAAAAAAATCACTGACAATTGTCTATAAAATGTTCTGAATCTTTCTGTGATAGAGTTTAGCTGCTCCATAGGGTTTGATTTAGATGCACCAGGAATTCAAAGACATTGTCAGTTAGTTTGTCCAACAACTACCTAAAAGTCTTATACACATATTTATCCTTTGTGCAATACAGCTGAGAAATAGAGATGAAATGATAAAAGTTATACTCCTGGATCAATAGTACCCCATATAATAATATTAGTCCATGCATCTGAACTTAGTTGTTCCATTCTTTGTCACAATAAAAGGCCATAATTCCTTTTATAGTTTTTGAGATAAATTAACTTTCAGTTGTTTTTTTATTCTTCATTCTTTTTCCCCAAGAATCTTAATGTTATGTGTAATACAGAACCATTTCACCTCACCATATCGGTTAATGGAAGGCAGAAAACATCTCCAAAATTTAAATGGATGAGTTTCTGGCTCCTGACAAAATTATGAATTACCATCAATTGTACGAGAAAAGCTAAGTTCAACAGCATAGCTTGCGCTGCTCCAGAGAATGGCTTAGTATAATGTGTTTATCTGTTGGTATAATCTGGGTTCACCAATCTTTGTTTGCTACCTTTGTTCTTTCTCTGCAAACCCTCATGACACTTTAGTAATGCCTGCGCCTTTGCTAAACCTCAAATTTAACGTCAGACATACCCCAGAAGCAGAATAGGAATCTAGCTCTGACATAGTAAAGTAAGAACAGGAGGAGACTTTGGGAGAAACAAGGCTATTTCATGCCTGAGTTTGTTGGGAGAGGTGGGTATTACATTCAATGAGCATCTCGCCTAAGGAATAGGATACAGAACAGCTATAATTGTCTTTCTTCTTCCTGTGGCTCTGGATGACCAATTCTGTAACCCAGTACCACTGCAAGCCTAAAACCCAGTAGCTCCCCCTATGGACTATCTGTGAGATAAGCTCATGTAGATTAGGAAATTGGCCATCTCTTGCTTAGGTATAATTTGCATATTCCTAGGACTAACTGATTTCTACTGTACAACTAGAACCTAGAAAGCATCCTTGAAAGTTTATGCCCATCTTGTAAGGAAGTAAAAGAGGCAAATATACGTATCTGGGTCAAGATAGCAAGCCAACAGGCACACTGCCCTGAGGAATGCCCATCTCTACCACTGCCATACTCAGCAGCAGGGCCACCAGCTATGGTCTTGGCCTTCAACTTTCTCCCAATATGTGTTTTCTGTAAGATTCTAATAACCCTAGAGCAACAGCAGTTATCTAGAAAAAATATTAAGGCACTTGGGAAACACAGTTTCAATAATAGGACAATATAGTGAATGATCTATAACAAATAAAATAGACAAACATTTGAAAGAGCAAGCATCTAAAGTACAATCAATAAAAGTGGTTATGGAGGGCATTTATATGATATTAGATATGAAGTAGAAAAGCAGATGTAAAGAAGAACCAATTGTTAGTACTACGCACAAAGAAGATAATTGTTCAAGTAAAATATGTGGCTGGTGAGCCGAACAGAAAAGAAACACACTGGAACAACTTTTAAAAGGTCCAAGTTATTTAGTATAAATCTCACAGAAAATATCAGGGAAAATTCCAAACTATTTAGTATAAAACTCACAGAAAATATCAGGAAAAATCTTTCTTAAAAAAAAGAAAGAAAAAAATTTAAGAGCTACTGAGAAATACAAAGATAGAGGACGGAATTAGAACTAACATGATACTGTTTCAATCAAAAATGCCTGAAAGAAAGAAAACAACAAAAACAAAGAGACATAGGAGGGAAAATACTTTTAAGAAAAACTGACTTTTCCAGAATTAGCAAAAGAACAGAAGTCTTAAATGCTTACAGATTGCCAACCAGATAGAGGTAGAATATTCATTGTGGCATATTTGTTGTAAATTTTTAAAATGACCTAGCTAGGCTATGTGTGGGGGTGCACACCTCTAATCCCTGCACTCACAGGCTGAGACAGGAGGATCGCTGCAGGCTTGAAGCCACAGCTGAACTGCATAGTGAAACTCTGTCTCTAAAGAAAAGAAAAGAAAAATCAAGAGAAATAGTTTAAATTTACAGGCAGAAAAAATCATACCACTTCCAGAGAAACTGAAATCCAGTTGACATGAGACTTCAAAAGCAACAATTACTGCTAGGATATGACACAGTAATATTTTTTAAAATATTAAAAATGACTTAGTGTCATACTTAGTAGTCAGCTAAACTATTGCTTAAAGCTTAAGTGCACAACAGACCATTGGTATTCATAGCTTCAGAAGAGACTGGCTAAAATATTCCAAGAAAAAAATACCACACCTAGAAGAAATATAAATGTAAAATTAATTTATGTTAGTCATGGGAAAGAAGGTGAAGAAATAATTTCAGGTTTCCTGTTATCTATCAACTCCACTCCAACATAGCAAAAACAAGAGGTGGAAAATGAGTGTCGATGAAGGGTTATGTCTGCAAGATGAAACAGTAGGAAGACCCACATTTTCTTCCCCCTACATTATATCAATTTAGAAACAAGACACAAACGAATCGAAAGGACCCTCAGCCCAGGCAAACAGCAAGCTAGACTCCCTGCATCCGGGAGTGAGATTTGGGATGCTCTCTTGCTGGAAATCTCTACACTAGCACAGCATCGTATCATCAGGAAGCGAACTGTTAAGGGGAGGTAAAAGTGGTGTGTACTTCTAGCACCCTAGAGCTTTCAGTGGAGGTCCTCAGTGGACTGGCTTGTCTCGTTAGTCTTGAGCTCTGATGGAGAACAGAGACAGAAACTTGAAGGGTATAAAATTTCAGTTTTACAAGTGAATAAGCTCTAGAAGGCAGCACATTCCTAGACTTACAGGCAATAAAAGTACATCACACACACACACACACACACACACACACAAATTTGTTAATAGGGTAGATTTGTCAGATGCTAGAGAATAGTGAATGCTTCTCGGCTCATTTTATTTTATTTATTAACTTTTTTTGCATGTAAAATACGTTTTATTATTCTTTAAAAGGGTTTGGGGTTTGGTTTTAAATCAGGCTACACATATTTTATAAGGCTACTATAACTGATTCCACAGCTAGGTTTGTATAAAATTAAAATAATATGTCCATTCCACTGATGAGTGTATACACATATCCTAATAAAAATAGTGAATGTCTACATCAAAATATTAATGAAAAATACATAGCAAATTATAATGAAGCAGAGCTTATCCCCTTATGTATGGTTTATCATAGGAAAATGTTTTAATTCAATACATCACATCAATAATCTAAAAACCATGACTCAATAGATAGAACAGTAATACAACAATAATATAACAAAATCCAAACCATGCTACTAAAACAATTCTAATCATCAAAAAATAAAAGTACAAACAAAAAACAAAGATGTTTAATGGAGAAACTTTAGATATATTTTTTGACATTGACAAGAATGTTGCAAATTGTAACAGTCTCTTTTTTTGTAACAGTCTTCTTTATCACTGTATGAAATTCAATAACGCAAACAAGAAAACAACAATATAGTGTATTGTCTGAAAGAGATGAAGCCATCATTTGCATGTTATATGGCTATAACTAAATCAGTAGACCAGCACCTAGAGCTAAATAAAGACTGATCAAACCAAGATATCCTTATAAAACTCAGTAGTATTTGCTTTCTCCTTATAAAACTCAGAAGTATTTGCTTATACCAGTAACAAACAAAAGGAAAGTGGAAAGAAGATACTGTATGATTAAAAATAGCAACAAAAATCAGTTAAGAATCTAAGAAAGAATGCACAGGAACTCTGTAGAAAAATGTTTGCAATTTCATTAAGATCAATTAAAGAAGAACATTATCTGGAAACAGAGTATCTTTATGAATGGAGAAATATGTAATGATCTTAAATGTCTCAAAATTAATTTAAAATTTCGGCAATGATACAATAAAATTTTACATGATATTTTGAGTAACATGTCATGCTTATATTCAAATATGCAGAATAATAAATAATTGCATCCTTTGTGAATAGAAGCAGTAGCAAAGAATCATTTCATACCAAATATTCAAATGTATTAAAAACCTAAATAATAGATTAAAAGTGAGGTTATTCCATAGAAACAGATAATAGAACAGTGAAATGGAATGGACTAGAAAGCTCAAAACCATGCTCAAAGATTGATAAGCAAGTTTTATATGGTAAAGTTAGCACAACGAAACAAAGGGACAAAAGACAAAACATTTAGTACCTTTATTTCTGTACAAAAACTAGCTGGGTTCATACATTATGCTTTAAACTTTAGACCAAACACAAAAGTGGACTTCCGCTGTACTAAAGACCTCGACTGTAAATTTAAAAGAAGTGTCAATAAAAGAAACTAGGAGAATAATTTTATTAGTAATCAAAGAAGTGACAATTATCAGCAAGATAATATTTTTGCTTCACTACATTAAGAGGAAAAACAGATTAGATGCTAGCCTGCTTTCACTAGGATGTAAGGAGAAGGAAATATGAGTCTTCCTCTACTGCCTTGGGATGTAGGCATTTCAGAGAGCAAGTTGGCAGTTCCTAGTGAAGTCCCTATAAATGTTATGTATGACATTTGAACTTTGGGGCAGATAAGCCCGAAAAACTACTGAAGAGACATATACAGGACATTTGTTGCAGTAAAAAGCAGTTACAGATGGTCTGGGTGACCAGCACTAAAGGAAAGGAGAAGAAAACCGTAACACATGCTGTGCATCTCAGTGCCTCACTTCAGAACCATACGTAGGATTTGCATTACCCAGTGCCAAGGATACACTTTAAAACACTGCTGGTGGCTCAAAAAGAAAGAAAGAGGGGAAGAAAACAAGAGGGTGGAAAAGAAAGAATCAAAGGGAAAAATGATGAGGGAAATAAAAAGAGATCTTGGCATAATACCATGAATAAAAAACACATACTCAGCGTAATATAGTCACATTTCTGTATCAGATTTTATGTGCACCTAATGTGTGCAGAGGAATATGTGAGAAAATATAAAGTAAAACAAAACAAAAAGGAACTTTGAAATCAACATTTATGTGTCAAGATCGGCTCTCTGCACCTGAGTCCAACAGCAATAAATGAATACATCCTGAACGGAGACCCTTCGTACAAAACTTTACCTCCATACACATTCCAAAATTTATAATCAGTGATGGTGCAAGAAGGCAGAGCAAAACAAACAAGACAGCATTACTGAGAAGCAGTGGGTCTCGGAGAAGAGTACACCTGACCACGAAACTGACTTAGATTTATGAACATAACATTGAATCCTGAATCTCTCTGCATGTCAGGCTCACAAGAAGAGTCTTTTAAATATGGAATTCATTGTGGTGGCTGTTAACCAGCCATGGTGTCATGTTAACCAGCTGTATGTGGTGTTTTGTCCACAACCAGCCCAGCATCTTAAAGACAGGACCAATCACAGTTCTTGGATTAGAAGTCTGCTTTGGTAGCCTCCAACACAAGTGTCACCTTATCTCCCAGGTTGGCATGAGAAGGGGAGTCCCTGACTATTACAAAGTCTAATTTTCTGATTAAGATCACTATTCAATAATACTAACCACACACAGCTATACAAATGACCTTTAAATCTAGAGATACTTCTTTTTTTAAATACTCATTGTCACTCTGTGTGAATCTTTGTTTTAATTAAGTCTTCCTTACATTCTGGTTTTGGCTTTTATAAAGTTGGTTATTTTTACACTCCATAGAAAAATTTTTAAAACCAATGAAGACAGTGAAGAACACCATAGAGCTTCATCACCCTGGAAGTCTTCTGTCTCTATTAGGCATCTTTGTCTCAAAGTGTAGCTTTTACTAAAAGCAAACACAAAAATGCCTCTGGCGTCCAGCTCCTCGGCTGTTGAACACAGTGCAAGCCCTCCGGGACAGTGCCTGTCTTACACATTTCTCATCCACGCTTGCAAGCGTAGAAGAGTTTGTCTGACAGCAGAGGTGCGACTCTGACACAGTTTAAGATTGGTGGCATAATAAGGAGACAGTGAGCTCAGGAGAAAGTGTGAATTGGAAAAAGAAATTATTTTTCTTTTTCTTCTAGCTGTAAATAACCTCACCGCAATGCCTCTCTTCCAAAACTCTAAGCCATAGTTCTAGGGAAGAAGAGTTTGCTAGGTAGCTTTTGTTTCCAAGAACGTCATCACCAAAGAAGTGAATGTGCTAAAGATGTCGATTTTCAGACTCTTTCATCCTATAAAAATCACAATTTGCTTGGCTCTTCTCCCTCAGTTTTTCCGTGTCTTCCTTTCTATATCCCCCTATCTAACCCACCAACAAAAGCAAGCAAGGTGTCCAGTAGAGAAAGACAGTGGTTATGCGTTTCCTTTCTCCAGAACAAGAAGATGTATAGAAAAAGGAAGTGATACAGGGAGAGCTGATAGTGTTGCCGAGAAATACTGAGGCTTAAAATGAAACCAGATGGGGCAGTGGCATTGCTGTCAAGGAAAGAAATAAATACGATGATTGGTAGCAAAGACAGTGCTAAGTAGAACTTTTGGAAGTCAAGAAACACTTGGGGATTTATGACTCAAAATGTGAATGAATGTAGCCTGAGAATTTGTTGCAGATAGGAATCTTAGGCTCGTGCCAAACTTGCTGAATGAGGGTACAGAGTTTAACAAACCACTGACTGATTTGCTTTCATGTTTAGTTTGAGAAGCTTTGAACTAAGACACTTCCTAATTTTAGGTTCCCAGTAAGATAATAAATATACTGAAACAATGAGGTTTTAAGTGTGTGTCTTTGGCTATTTAGTTCTTTTAATACATCCCATAAAAATTACAATGACTATACACATAATCCCATTTGAAGTTAACATCGAAAGTCTGAAGTCACAAATCAAGCTTCTCTGTGAGCACCAGGTCCAAGTCCTCTGAGCCCCAGATAGGAACTGGATAAAGACTATAACACCACTGCTTGACAGCTGTTTGGAACACTGCAAGTCCCCATGCGTCAAGCTCATGTCCTAATTCTGAATGTGAAAAACTTTCCTCTAATACGATGACACCATACTGCAGCAAGGCCATCTGTACGCCTGTAGCGGAGAGAATTTTTGTGGTGTACCAAGTTATGTTTATGGCCAGGCAGAAACACAAGCTTCTCCTGATCAGTATCAGAGAAACCCATATGCAGTCTGTGTAAGCAAGAGGAAAATGACCTCCAGAGGCAGCCCACTGCAACAGTACATAAATAAATTGGCAGATGTGTCAACTATGCATATTAGTCCAAGAGTTCAGTTCTTTGGGGACTGAAGTCCAAAGACAAAGACATTTGTGGGTTGCCGGTCAATCTGGAGCATTTCTTCTAATTTTTCTGGATGTGTTTTTGACAGGAGCTTAAGGATAGTTCAATAAATTAAAATGTATTTACATGGCAATGAAGAATTATCTTGACACACAGAGAGTTATTTAATTACCAAGGTGCTTTGCGTGCTGCTAAAGTTGAGTCTGTGTCAGCCTTTCTGGGACAAATCTTTATTTTCAGGGCCATGTGGCTCAGCCAGGAATGATCCCCTGGGTTGGAGCTTGTCATTTATAGAAGAGGAGTCTCCGCACTGACCCCCATTTCCATAGACAGCTCTAAACAGATCGGTAATCTCAATGTCAGACATCATGATGAAGTCAGCGCAGCCAAGGCCAAAAGTCTCCCTTCAGGGATGTGGCCTCCCTCTCAGAGGAATTGTAAATGAAGTCATACCCCATTTGCAGTCTTCAAAGCATGTCAGGGTTGCTCTCTGTCTGAGTGACATTCAGAGAGTCGACTTGAGGCATCACAAGGTAGGTGTATGATAAAAGTCTCTGTCTGTGCTAGCAGCCTCAAAACAAGTGGGCAAACAATAACCTCATATAAATGGGTGCAGTGAGTTTCCTCAAGCTATACAATATACCGTTCCTGTGGGAAAGCAAGCGCCCTTGAGGTCCAGGCACTGAAGGAGACATAATAAGAGAAAGCAGAACCCGGGAACTCAAGGTCAAACTCAACATAAGTTGAGAGTTGTCTATGAGGTTATAATTTCATGAGCTGTGAGTCCTCAGGGAAGTTACTGTGGTTCTCCAGCTTTCATTTTCCTCATAGATATGAGGGTTTAAATCATAAGAAAATGTAGTTTATTCTAATGCTAGGATTATATTTCATTCCATTTCTAAAAACTGTAACTTTTTTTCCTGCATTCTTTCTGAATATCATCCTTATGGGTGATTCTAAGAATTTCACCCACTGAACTCACACCAAATTCATGCTTCTAGGTCCGGACATCTTGACTCTAGTGGTGGGATCTGACATCAGCCTCTGTCCCAACACCCCGTGGCCCACCTGCCGTGGCTATCTACACAAGAGGACTCACTCGGGCTTCATGAAGGGCTGGAGGAAGAGGTGGTTTGTGCTGAAGCATGATGGCTGTCTCCACTATTATAAACATAAAAAGGTAAAGTGAGAGAAGGCAGACCTAGGGGTTGGCTTGGGAAAGAGCAAGAAACCTTGGGAAGTGTGGTCTGGTGCAAGCGTTGTTTGTGAAGGCATTATGTTGCAGAAGTCTGGAAACAATGTTCTCCCCTGTGATTTCTCAGGAAATTTTCCATCTTCTAAAACTCTCAAAATTGTAATTTATTTCCTCTGCTCCTGCATAAATCAAGATTGGCATAACTTTCTATCTCATTTTTCCTATTGTTCAGCTCCTCTGTGAAAATATTTTTATGAATGCCAACAAAACAAGAACCAAAGTAAATACCCAAAACCTTAGAGAAATCAAGGTGGGCGTTAGGCACAGTGGCTCTGGGGGACTGAAAGTCTGGGTTCTGTTTCCAAGTGGCAGGGCTTGGATGTTATCAAGGCTTCTAAGGCAGAGCACCAGGGAGGGGCCTGGAATACCTCCATTCATTTTTCCTATTTTTTGACAGCAGTGATTTCTAACCACAGACAAGGGATGGACTCACCTAGGGAATGCTCCCAAAATACGTAGACTCAGTCCTACCCCCAGATGTTTCTAATTCAGCAGTCTGGGATAGGGCCTAGGACTGCATAGCTGGAAAAATCTTTTCAGATGATTCTAACTCACCCTCCACATATTTTTAACACAAAGTATTTTCTCAGCCCTATGCCGTGGGACTAGTAGTCCAGGGTGTCAATTTTTAAATCAGATGGATGTGAACATGGTAAACACAGAAGTTTCCAAATCTCCTAGAAATCGTGATTTCCAATTTCTTCTTGGAAAATTCCCTAGCGACTGTTGGCAGGAGCTGAAGAGACTCCTTTCCCTAGGGAGCACACGCGGGCTCCCGCCTGACAAAAGGACCTGCCTTTCACTCTGCTGGCTTCATTTGGATCACATTTGTGACCTACTTCTAGTCAAGGTTCAAAGCAGGAGTTTGATTATTTTTGTGATGACATCTTCCTGCTGCCTTTTTTTACACTGCCCTAATTTCTTAACGTGAAACTATTTACACACATAAGTACATACCAAGATATATGTATGTAAACAGCCTTGTTCCTCTCTGGGACAAGTCAGTATAGAAATCAATTCATTAAAAAGCAATAATGATTTTGCATACTGAATTACTATGAAAACTTTCCATTCTCAGATTATGTGTTGCTTATTTGTGACACAGGCCATGAGATGCTCTGCCTTCCAGGGCAACATAAGCCATACAGCTACTTTGAAAAACTTTGTCTCCCTCCAGTGCAGGAAAATAGAATTCTCTCTAATCAGGATGAAAAACAATGTTTTGTCCTTGGTTTCTGCTTTGTGAGTATTAGAGTTGAACAGATCAGAAGTTTGCGGCTTGGTTGTGTTTCAGAAGCACTGGAGTTTCCCAAGTACACACGCAAATTATCCCCTTCCCTCTTATTTCTAAATGCCCAAGAGTTGAGTCTTCAAAGTTGTGCCCATTTTTTAAGCCTTCAAGGTATTTCTGATTTGTACCCTGGGTGAGTATCATAACAAAGTCTATTCCCACTTATAATTAAAGACGAAAAAAAAGGTTAATAATGTAACTTCGGCAATTGGTCTTTCCTAAGATAAGTTTCCTGAGACTGTATCTGTCCTAGTTTTTGTTAATAACTTGTGTTTCCCTTGTAAAATAGTGGTAATAGTAAATTCTGTAAGTATTTTCCTTCTTCAGGAAAACAAATGAGTAAAAAAAGAAAAAAGAAAGAAAAACTTGTAGTTGAGCACTCCTCATTTTAAAATTCCTAGTCCTTGAATTTCAGAATAATTCCTTCAGCCAGATTTTTAGGCTGAGTCTGCCAGGTGGCAGTCATGAGACCAGTGCTGCCTGTCCTTATTTTGTTTGGCTTGTGTGGTGTTTTTATAAAATTTTTAATTAAATGCATTCAGGTGAAATGTGCTGTAAGTTTGCCCATAATCCCCAGTTTTCCTGATTTCCTTACACTGAGCTCAGTCATTTGAATTACCCACCAGGCTCTGTTGGGATTTAAATTCTGAACTGAAATGTGTGTGAAAAATTAGTAACTATCATGGTAATAGTAATTGGGGTTAAAATAGTTTTTAACGCTCCTAAGTCCTCTTTGCAAAAAAGTCTTATAATGTGGATGCAGCTAGAAAAAAGTATGAAGAGCAACTGAAATTGTGAACCTCATTGCCACAATAGGTTATAATGTAGAGACGGTAGAATAGAAAATCACAGCTTATTTTTTATAGAGAACAAAACTCAGATCCCTTGTAGTGCTGCAGACTCCAGAATATATTATGTCTGATCTTTGGCATAGATAGCAATGACTGAGAAGAGTTAATGGGGCATAAGAAGAACATAACAGAATAAATTAGCAGAAAATGAACTCAGCCATAGAGTATTCATTCATGCAACAAGTATTTATTGAGTCCTTTTCATAAGGCAAGTATTATGTAAGAACTGGGAAGACAATGAAACAGATCTGATGCCTGCCCTATTTGAGCTTACAGTTCCGTGGAAGAGACTCATACTAAAAAATGGATTCACAAATAAATATGCAATTGTGATTAGTACCATAAATGAAATTACAAGGACATAGAAGAGAATTGTAGGCGATCTAGGTACAATCAAGATATTCGCAAGGATATTTTAAATAGGGGAGGCTTAATAAAATAGTTATCAGATAATGCTAAAAGGATAACTGTATGGCAATAAAAGAGCACATGCAAGGAAAGACGAGGAAGGGGAATGACTCTCCAAGGATGCAGGTCTCACTGGAGAAATAGTGTAATCCACTGGGTAGCAGAGGAACTCACTGCTTTGGAGGCTGGAGTCAGGCTGCAGGACATCCTAGAAGCAGTCCTTGGTGGTGGGAAGGACAGGGCTGCCCAATCTCAGCTGTTGGCGAGGTGTGCAATGGGAAGACGGTGCTCCCGTGGCAGAAGGCCTGGCCTGTCAGGTGTCCTCGTGGGAAAGGTTCTGGTAGGAAGTGTTGGAATGGAAAGGATTGTAAGAAACAAATCTAGGGGAGGATCAAACAGTACAGTGAAAATCAGAACATCGTAGTGTGCAGGATGGGCACTGGAAGCATAGGAGGTCCACATGGACAGTGTCACAGGAAGGTGACCAGCAAGGCATTCTGGGCAGTAAGGTCTGGAAGGGCAAGTGTGCTCCAGTGTGTGACTAGGACAAAGCACTTCCTGAGGTCCGCACACCTGAACTGGGAGCTGCTGGTCCACCTTGCTGCAGCTGGAAAGAGCAGGAGCATCCCTTTCCCCTGCAGTGTTCCTCTAGTGCCCTCTACTGAGAAAAGCCAACATCATGCTTCTAGCAAAAGAGAATTACATAAAGGAATTCAGTACACTACTGCAGAGCATAGATGAAGGGGTGAGTTTGGGGCTGAGAGGGACGGAGAGACAACAGACTGACTGTGGGCATCCAAGTACACTGAGGGGTCCAGCATAGCAGACGGAGGGGGAGCGTGTAATGAATTCCTTTTCAAGGATGTAACACTGTGGCTGAGAACTGAGTTGAATAGAGGTTAACCAGATAGAAAGTTTGGATGAGCATTCTTCAGGCAGAAGAAACAAGCTGGCAAAATGCATGTTGTTTGAGGAGCTCATACAAAGCCCAACATGCCTAGAGCCAGAGGGCACGAAGAAGGGCAGAAAAAGAGGGAGTTTAAGCTTAGACAGTCAGCAGGAAAAACTACGCAGGGCCCTGAGGCAGTAATAGGGACTTTTGAATGCTTTTCCAACCTCGGTGAAAGCTACCACATGTTTTTGGTAAGGAAATTTTCAAAAACTCGTTCTAATTCTTATGTTGAGAATGAACTGGAGATGAGGAGAGTGGAATGAAACCCCTTGGAAAGCTAGCCGCCAGAGTCTGGGGAGAGGTGACCGCAGTCATTCCCAGGCCACGGTAGTAAACTAGGTACATCTCCAGATCTGTTTAAAAGCCAGAAGAAATAGGGTTTGCTGATAGGTTACATGGGTAGGTAGGGTACTTTTTATGGTTTAATTATGACACCCTCTCAGGGACTCCAGGACACTGAGGGCTTGATCCCCAAGGCAGTAAAGTCAAGAGGTGGGGCGTAGAGAGGTGACTGGATTATGAGAGCGCTGACCACATCAGTGGACTGGTGTATGAATGAGTTCATAGCTGAGTGGGCTGCTGGAAATGGGGCCTCAGTCAGGAGGAAGGCGACTAGCAGGAAGCCTCTGAGGGGCGCTCTAGCTCTGTCTCTGTCTCTCTCAGTCTCTGTGTCTCTGTCTCTGTCTCTCTCTCTTAGTCTCTGTGTCTCTGTCTCTCTGCGTCTCTCTCTCTGTCTGTCTCTGTCTGTCTCTCTCCCTGTCTCTCTCTCTCTGTCTCTCTCTCTCTCTGTCTCTCTCTGTCTCTCTCTCTGTCTCTCTCTCTCTGTCTCTCTGTCTCTGTCTCTCTCTGTCTCTGTCTCTCTCTCTCTCTCTCTCTCTCTCTCTCTCTCTCTCTCTCTCCCTCTGCTTCCTGGCTGCCATGATATAAGCAGCTTTCCTCTGCCTCTAGGCCCTGCCATCATGTTTCTGGCCTCACCACTGGCCTCGGAAGCTGCTGACGATGGACTGAAGCTTCTGAACCAAAATAAATCCTTTTATCTTCAAGTTGTTTTTCCCAGGTATATTTTCACTTGCTTGAAAGCTGACTTTGGGAACTACTATAACAAATACTACAAACTAGGTGGTTTATATAAGAATAAAAATTGATTTTTCACAGTTCTGAAGTCTTGGAAGAGCATGATGAAAGCATCAGCTGATTCTGTATCTTGAGAAAATTCTTTGTTCATAAAGGGCCATCATTTCACTACGTTTTCTCATAGTTAGAGACAGACACTCTTGAAAGGCTGTTTTATAATTATCTCAGTCCCATTCATGAGGATTCCACTCTCCTGACTTAATCTCCAAAAGTATTCATGCTGAGGATTAGATTTCAGTATATGGATAGTACAGGAACACTGTGTGTAGCGTGGGGAGAGGGTAGATAA